CTCCTGCCTCAAGCAATTCTCGCACCACTTCTAGGTGTCCGTTGCTAGCAAAGTGCAAAGCTGTGGAACCATGTTCATCTGCAGCCTTCTTCTCAGCTCCTGCCTGAAGCAATTCTCGCACCACTTCTAGGTGTCCGTTGCTACTAGCCAAGTGCAAAGCTGTGAAACCATCGTCATCTGCAGCCTCCTTCTCAGCTCCTGCCTCAAGCAAGTCTCGCACCATTTCTAGGTGTCTGTTGTGACTTGCCCAATGCAAAGCCCTGACACCATCTTCATCTGCAGCCTCCTTCTCAGCTCCGGCCTCAAGCAATTCTCGCACCACTTCTAGGTGTCTGTTCCTACTTGCCCAGTGCAAAGCTGTGTCACCATGTTCATCTGCAGCCTCCTTCTCAGCCCCTGCCTCAAGAAATTCTCGCACCACTTCTAGGTGTCCGTTCCTACTTGCCCAGTGCAAAGCTGATTTGCCATCTTGGTCTAAAGAGTCCTTGTCGACACTCGCCTCCAGTAAGAGTCTCACCACCTCCAAGTGGCCATTCTCAGCTGCAACATGGATGGCTCCTCGGCCTAGTTCTAGATCTGGTATGTTGGGATCATGGGGCATTTGAAGGATGGATTCAACTTCGGCCAGCAGCAGCTGGTCCCCACATGCTGATACGAATGCTCTGTTTCTTGCAGCCTCTGCATCTTGAAAATCCAAGATCACCAGCTGCAGCTCTGATATTGCGGTCAATGGAGAATCATCCTGCAACTCAATATGATCATCCAAGAGTCGTTGTCGAAATCGGGAAGTTCCAGTCCGAGCTACCAGGTGTTCTTTCAATGCCCTCACAGGTTTGTCACTTTGGAGTATAGGAGTCATGTCATCTGGCTGAACGTCAGCAACCACCGCCCCTGAGAGGAAGCGGATTCGCAGCATCAGCAGTGAAATGCCATCAGCAGGTCAGCTGCTGTGACCCTGACCAACATTCATGAGCCATATGATCCTGTCGCAACTGCACATTTGCATTTACGGTGGTGCGAGACCTTTTGGAGGTGTTTGCTGAAAAAGGGAAATACAGTAAGGGCTTATTTTGAAAGGTATGGACCGTTGAGAGTTGTCCAGTTGAGGGTAATCTACAAAGGAAAGCATAGAATAACCAACTGTCTTCCAAACAAGCTTTGTCGAAAGAAGAGTTCAAGAACCCTTCATCAATCCACCAAAAAGAAATAGACCTGCAACGAACCCAAAAGAACATTCAAGAACTAATCAAGTGTTTGTTCCTCCCAACTCTTGTTTTGTGGAACAACTCTCTCAACTCCCAAAACGACCTACAGCTGCGTCTCCGCCGCAGGTCACAGCCTACTCCCTTTCGCGCTGGTCGCGGCCCAGCCTAGGACGAGGTTCACCGACTCGGCACCTGACGAGCCCGGGCAGGGCACAAAAAACGCGGACGCGGATGCGATAGCTGCTCGCCGGCCCGGGTCGCGAAGAAACTGGGCGGAAACTTCTTTCCTTTTGGGTCGTGGGGGCCGGGCTGCTCAAAGCCGGAAGCCGGTCCGCTTCTCTGATGAATGTATGGGCTCGGACCACCAGTGGATGAAAAATCGTGGAAAAGACTACTGGGCCATGCAGGAGCTCACCGCAAGCACGTCCAAACGTGCCCAAAGGTGCCTATAACGATTGATACCCAGATGATGAACAATGGCGGCATGATGTGTCGATCAAACTTGGAAACTCCCTCATGGATGTCGTGCGCTTTCTCAAATCTTTGTTGGGGCAGGTTCTGCTATGTCAAGTCCTTTCCAGTGGACCTGTTCTCCAAATGCCCTGACACCTCAAACCCTGACATGCCCAAAAACCCTCCCATCCTGCCCCTCAACCATTCCCTTCCCATCACGATTTGCAGAAACCAGGGCACCGATTTGCAGAAACCCCAAGACGTGCTCCAAGACCTCGTCCGGTGACGCCCTCCGCACCACGGGCTCCGCCGCCGGGGTGTCCTCGCCGCCACATGGGGGGGCGAGTTCGTCGCTCGCGCCGGGCGCGGTGAGTTCGAAGCGAAAAGCCACCGGCGTGTGGATTGGGTGCAAAAGTGATGAAACTCAAATCGTTAGCTCGGCATTTGGTCTTGCTTGGCATGAAAGGTGGCAGAGGAGTTGAGTTTGGACTGCCAAATGCCCCAAGGGCATTCAAACTACCATTGGCTTTGGGTACTAGCAAATTTGGATGTTCATTGTGTTGTGGTTCCGTCTCTTTTTGGCGGAGATCAATTCATCAACTCATGTTGGCAAGTGGATTTTTTTGGCTGCCATAGATGGTCGACAATAGAGAAGTGTCTATCCGTTCACCAAACAATGTGGCCGGTGGGATCATAAGGTTGTGTGCTTGAAGCAACGCAAGCTTACATTGAATGCTGAAGAAGGCAAGATTGGGAAGCAGACACTAGTGGCCTTGTGGAAGCACCAGGCCTTTTCGTGCGACCTGAATCACTGCGACTGCCCATGCAAGAGCCAGGTCAATCTCTTCAGGTGCTGGGGCTTACTTTGCTCATCTTCAAGTATCTTTCATCTTCCTCGGCAAAGATAAACAAGCACTGCAAAACTGGGAGATATCCCAGAAGAAAAACATCAAAACGAGCTCGCGATGCTTCACTTCGGGAGGTGTTTTCTCCTGCAGAAAAAACGGGGCATGCGGATCCGTTGGATGATGCCAAGTGGGCATCGAATCTGCGGGACTTCCCCGACTCGAACTCGACTCTCTGATCCTTCGCAACATTTGGATCTGGGTCGTCGTCATCGTCGTCGTCGTCGTCGTCGGTGGTGGTGGTGGTGCTGGCGTTGCTGGTGTTGGTGTCAGTGTTGGTGATGGTGCTGGTGTTGGTGTTGCTGCTGCTGGGTGTTGTTGTTGTTGTTGTTGTTGTTGTTGCTGTTGCTGTTGCTGTTGTTGGTGGTGGTGGTGGTGGTGTTGTTGCTGGTGGTGGTGGCGGTGGCGGTGGTGGTGGCCCGAAGGGTTTGTTCTCCCCACATGTGTGGCATGTCTTCCGCACCTCCGAGAAGACGCGCAGCAAGATCTTCTCGCCCGCAGTGATGGAAGCTTGTTCCAGCAGGTTGGTTCCTGACGTGGCTTTGGGTCAAGAAAGTTGAATGTTCAGCGAGATTACACCCACTGCAAACCATATACCCAGGAACAAAGGAAGCAAGCTGTGGATCAATGGAAAAGCCAATCATCTTTGCACCTGTGTTCGGTCATCCACCCGTCCAGCAAAGGAAGCATAGACACCGCTCAATGGTTGGAATGGGTGACAAACGCAATTGGGGATGATTCAAAAAACAAAAGGACAAAGAACATCAAAGAACCCATCACACCCATGACCTCAACCAAGAACTGTGAGAATCCTCACAAGTACCTGAAACGCAGACCAATCATCAAAGTGGTACTGAGGTACTGGAAGGCTGATAAATTTTTGGTGTGGGTCAAAGTACGCACGTCGCAAACAAGTCTCTCCCTTTTGGGAGGCTTTCAATCATTTGCCGCGACCGCTCCTCATTGTGACGTCAGACCGACCAACCGACCGTCCAAATAAGGAGCTCGAGGATGGCCAAGCTCAACCCACCCTGTCAATCACTACCCTTTGAAGGCATTAGTGGTAGGGCCAGGATGGTTTTCACTCTTTCCATATGATCGTCCCAGTGAAGATGAAGAGCTTCTCATGTCCTCCAAGAGAGAACATGCCATCAGCCCATTAGCGTTTTCCCGGATCCAATGCTATTTTTGTTGTGTCTTTGGTCAAGCTGTCCCATCTGAGTTTGATGGGTCTCCACATTTGTCGGATATGTCTCTGAGGCATATTGGTAGCATCTTCTAAAGAAAGAAGATGTCACATGTGGGTGTGTATTCGAATAGGGAGACCGTAGGACTCCCTGGAAGAAGGGAAGCTCGTCTACCCGGTCTAGGTTGGGACGGTCTCCCTATCAATACAAACGCCGAAGCGAAGCGCAGAAACCACGGTTTTGCAACCGATCCAGAGACCAAGGGGAATGGAGCTGGGAATTCGAGTTTTCCCCCACGCCCACCTCTACCACAGGAGGAAGTGCTCGGGATGCCACGGGTTTAATCTTTTCCAACCAAACCCTGGAGAAAAATCCGAATGTTCATAGACTTTTCCCTGGACTTTTCACACCTCTCCAGTTCATCTCGGACCCGGCGCCTGGCACTTGAAGCTGTAGCACACGATGCCCTGGAGCAAGCGAATGTAACATTCTTCAGACGGTTTTGTTCTTTCGCGGACAAGAACGTTGATTCAGCCCCCCAAAAGAGGTCGGTTCATTCATCGGCATAGGATCTCCAACATCTGGAGCTTGGTTCATCAACCAACAATCCCGGTTGGTCGGGTGACCGTCACTCTGCCTGATAAACCCCAGGCAGAAGAACACGAGAATGTATTCGAAGCAAGACAGCCAACTACCGCTTGTGGTTTTCAGGCACAAGGCATTACCTGCGAATCAAAGCACACGGGTGACGCGGTTTCTATTTTTGATCAAGACACTGTGGCCCACCATTCTTTTAATAGGGTGAAACGGTCCGTCCAAGGTGATGCAAGATTCTTGTCCATCCACAAGTGATACAATTTCTAGAAGCTTGGTCTTGGAATGAGGAGTTTTTCAAAGAAACTTGTTTGTTTGAGAAATCGCGGGCAAAAAAGAACTCGCCGATCCGGAACCCCTGCTGAACTGCCCATTTCCGAAAACCGGGCCAGTCGACACCTGCTTGGAGCGCTTCCCCAGACTGGCTGGGCACGTAGGAACGGGGCTGAATCTTTTCTTCCACCATCCTGGGATGGATCGACACCCACCCTAGAGCACATCCAAATAGCTACACCACTGTCGGTGGTTCCAGACTAGATGGCGAGGCCCCAATCCGCAAGAGGTGGTAACAAGAAAACTGGGGTTTTGGGGGTCCCAGTGATCTGGACGAGTGTTTCACTGGAGTATGCCCCCTGTTGCCATCTGTTGCCCATGGGGGCCGATGGAGTCCTGGTGGAACAGATGAAGCCAACACTCCCCAACACTGGCATGATGAGGCTGACATCGCATGATCCGGCCACATCAGCGATGCAAACCTACTTCAAGGAGGACCAGGTCTGCCCGAGTTTTTTGTGGGAAAAAAACACACATGTTGGCTTCGTTGCATACCCACAAGTTCCTAGAGTCCTAGAGATTCTCAGCTGCAAAGGGGTCCACCTCCTTCACGGCTTGCGCGATTTCCAGATCGCCCCGCCGTCGAATAGACTGGGAGGCTTCGAAGCCGCCCCAGCAACTCCACGAATCGCGCCATTGCGTCGGTCGACACCAAACACCAAGTCTTCTGGGCTTGTCGACCAGGGAACGACCCACCGGTCCCCACGCCACGCTCGTGTCGAATCGCTTTGACGCCATCAGGCCGACGTCAACATACTACGGTGTTTTCTGCGAAAATGGTGGCCGCAAAATAGACTATAAGAGTTAAAGGCACGGGCCCTCTCCCCCCAAGGATCCCGTTTTTGAATTGCAAGACATGTTTGCTCAAGCTAGGAGAACTCAGATAAAAGGAGCTCAATACAACAAGGCTTCCTGCCCATTCCCCATTGAGTTCCCTTGACCGGACCGGTTGCACCTGTGGCTTCCCACCAAGCCACTGAACCAACGACTGGAAGATGCCCTGGTCCTCCTCGCCGGTCACCTTGGGTGAGCGATGTTCGGCTGTCCACGTTGTTTTTTGACGAGGAGTGCAAGGCACTTTCTTGTTGATCTACAGTCTACATGTCTTCCACAAGACGCTGCCCGAAAAAACTCGGTGTGCAGTGCGCAGGTTGATCCCCAACTGATGGACTACGTGGATGACGTGTACCACTTTGCCGGATTTTGTTCATGAATGTTGATGTCCATCCTGGAGACAAGAGCAGCCGGAGCGGCTGATCCAGACCCCCACTGCTTCGGAGCGCTCGGTGGGGCATCTCGGTGAGGATTCCCGAATCAAGATCCTAGCA